GGGGGGGGGCGGCGTGGGGCAGGGTGGGCAGCTGTAGGTGAGCAGGCATGGGCCAACTGGCTACTCATACACATGCACCAATTGCAGTAGGCGCGGCAAATGTTCAGGTACGCATTAGCAAGAGCAGACAGTGAGGTGCGGTATTGTCGGTGCTCTGGGCTCAAATCAGGAAGCAGGATCCGTCAATCAGAGCACGCACCACAGAGAACACAGCAAGCAAGTGCATCCCAGCCGACACACTCCACCCTGTCGTGCTGCTCCTATGGAGTGTCATTTGGTGCACCCGTTGCATGCTCTGTGTTACACCGGTGTACCCTCAATTATGTAGACCGACCCCGCCCCTCAGGCTCCCCCACCTGCTGTCTTACCGTGCATGGAAACCGTGGGCTGGGCATGGCAGCTCGTCCTGCAGCCGACGGGGATGGCACAGCAGCCGCCTCACCGCCACGGGCGTCCTCCTCCTGCAGGCCGCGTCACACAGAGTGATGCACAGGAGGCATGACAGGTTCGCCAGGTTGGTCGACGGGCAGTCATGGCAGCGGGAAGCAGACTTGCACCGAAGCCCTGGTGTACCGGAGTACACCACAGAGAACGCAGCAAGCAAGTGCATCCCAGCCGACACACTCCACCCCGTCGTGCTGCTCCTATGGAGTGTCATTTGGTGCACCCGTTGCATGCTCTGTGTTACACCGGTGTACCCTCAATTATGTAGACCGACCCCGCCCCTCAGGCTCCCCCACCTGCTGTCTTACCATGCACGGAAACCGTGGGCTGGGCATGGCAGCTCGTCCTGCAGCCGACGGGGATGGCACAGCAGCCGCCTCACCGCCACGGGCATCCTCCTCCTGCAGGCCGCGTCACACAGAGTGATGCACAGGAGGCATGACAGGTTCGCCAGGTTGGTCGACGGGCAGTCATGGCAGCGGGAAGCAGACTTGCACCGAAGCCCTGGTGTACCGGAGTACACCACAGAGAACACAGCAAGCAAGTGCATCCCAGCCGACACACTCCACCCTGTCGTGCTGCTCCTATGGAGTGTCATTTGGTGCACCCGTTGCATGCTCTGTGTTACACCGGTGTACCCTCAATTATGTAGACCGACCCCGCCCCTCAGGCTCCCCCACCTGCTGTCTTACCGTGCACGGAAACCGTGGGCTGGGCATGGCAGCTCGTCCTGCAGCCGACGGGGATGGCACAGCAGCCGCCTCACCGCCACGGGCGTCCTCCTCCTGCAGGCCGCGTCACACAGAGTGATGCACAGGAGGCATGACAGGTTCGCCAGGTTGGTCGACGGGCAGTCATGGCAGCGGGAAGCAGACTTGCACCGAAGCCCTGGTGTACCGGAGTACACCACAGAGAACGCAGCAAGCAAGTGCATCCCAGCCGACACACTCCACCCCGTCGTGCTGCTCCTATGGAGTGTCATTTGGTGCACCCGTTGCATGCTCTGTGTTACACCGGTGTACCCTCAATTATGTAGACCGACCCCGCCCCTCAGGCCTGCCCACCTGCTGTCTTACCGTGCACGGAAACCGTGGGCTGGGCATGGCAGCTCGTCCTGCAGCCGACGGGGATGGCACAGCAGCCACCTCACCGCCACGGGCGTCCTCCTCCTGCAGGCCGCGTCACACAGAGTGATGCACAGGAGGCATGACAGGTTCGCCA